GTGACCAGATCACTGGCTCATGTTCTATAGGGAGGTTCATTTCCAGGTATAGGGAGGTTCATGTCAAGATATTGAACAAGATGGCCATGGGCTTTAACAGTCATCTGACTATAAAGATCTATATATGAAAGAAACGAAACAGGCTTAAAATAAATAGCTCAATTACTCTTCAGCTTACATAGAAGACGTTGTTGATTCATCAAGACATTTTCTGCAACCTTGAAATCACATTCTTTATACATGCACTGCACAATTGCCATTACTCTGGATGTATTGCTTGTTGAAAAAAAACAAGCTACAGGCCCAATATCAAGACCCTTGGCCTTCCTTTTATTCAAAAGAAATAGCTTAAGCATTTCAACACATTTGACACCTGTGACCTTAAAAGTGGGTCAATGTCATTCATATCAATCGTTTGTCGTCCTACATCCTATCATGTGCTACTTTCAATGTCAAAATCCAAGATGGATGCCTGTAGGACATTTTTTTTTTCTGATCAGACCCAAAATCAAACGGGCACAACCAGGGACAATGGGGAAACCTACATAAGACATTTGTGAAAGTAAAAACGTAAACTATCCAGTACTTTTCAAGTGATAGTGATAACAAAGTTCATTGAAAAAATTCAAGATGGCTGCTTGTCAGCCATATTGGCACAACTAAAACCAAAGGAAACCTTCATATTAAATTTGAAAGAGATCCATCAAGCACTTCTGAAGAAATAGCAATAACAAAAATTGATGTAGGGCAATTTGAAAAGCACATAATCTGATAATGGTGGGCTAACTAGGGGTAAAATCATTTTTCTGAATTTAAGATATAATTCTCAACTCTCAATGATGTTTCAGACCAAATTTGGTTGTAATCCATTTAAGCATTAAAAAGGAGTAGTGTTTTGAAGTAAAATATTGACCAATTTCCCCTTTTGGGAGCCTGCCCTTAGGTACCTAGGAATTGAATCAACTTTCTGAAATGATTCTCCACTGTCAGTGATGTCTCACACAAAATTTAGTTGAAATTCACAAGGACTAAAAAGGAGTAGCATTTTGAAGCAAAATATATAATTGCCTTCCCTAACTGATGAATCAGGACAAAGTTTGTTGAAATCCACCCAGGCAGAAAGGAGGAGTAAGGTTTTATATCTAATTTCAACACCTCCCCCTAGGGGGCCAAGTGCCTCAACTCTTCAGGTCAAATCAAAATTCTGAACACAGGAAATGATTACCCTCACCCAATGATGCATCAGACCAAATCTGGTTGAAATCCACCCAGGTATGAAAAAGGAGTAGGGTTTTAAAGAAGAAGTTTATGCATGATGTACAGTGACAGACAGAGGTTCATGTCAAAATATTGAGAATGTGACAGATGACTGGCTCACACTCCAAAGGGAGGCTGATGTTGAGATATTGAGAATGTGGTTACATTAATAGGGAGGTTCATGTTCAGGTATTATGAATGCGACTTAAAAAAATTATTTAGACTTGGACGACAAAATTCAATTGAAAGATGAAGTTTACCCGATTGAACAATGAAAAGCTAATATTAGTGAAGATTTGTTTTACAATAAATATCAGATACCTTGTTGACCTGGTGATTCAGAAGACTGTCCCTGCTGTAAAACACCATATTAAACTTGCAGTGCCAGTTATTCTAGTTGTATTTCTGGCAAAATTCCGACCAATTCCTCTTCCCAGTTATCTCAATTTCAGTCTAGTCTTTTGGAGACACTTTGTTTTGCAGGAATGAGATTTTATTTCCTCTTAAACACCCATTATAAACTTCAGGCCAGTATAAATCACAAATTTTACCGTACCACAAACATACTGTTTTAACTTTTGTTTAAGTGGCTGGCTGGCCCGTGGAGTCTCTTCGGGTCGATTTACACCTGTTTGGGGTCTACTGCTTTCACACAGTAATGAGAATCATGAAGATTTATGCCACAATCTTCCATTTTTGTATACTAAACGATGCTTCCAGGGAGCTGGCCACTGGGAAATCAACAGTCTTATAATATATCCACAGTTCCTGTAGTCAGGCAGCCTGAGGCAAGGGACTAGCAAAGAGGGTTGGACAAACTTTTACTTAAATTACAGACAAACTGGCAGTTTTCAATAGTACCAACAAGGAACTGTTGATTAAAACCCTATATGAACCTGAGTCTCAAATACAGAACTAGTCTGATACATGAAATGGAATCTCAAATACAGGACTCTGCTCATTAAGTCAGAACACCTTCTGAACAATTTTCTGTTTTAAACAAACGATGCATGACTTAAGTGTCTTCTGCTTAATTGACACCCATCACGTCAATTTAGGTCAATCCAAGTAATGTCAGGTTTTCAAAGTGAGAAATGAATACAGATTTACCAAATTTAGGACATACAAATGTTTTATTTGAAAGCATCACACATGGGTTTGTGTTAAACATTTCCCAATGAGGTCAGGTGGCAACCAAGAAATTTTAACATGCAAGAGAACTTCTGTGATAAAGGGCAAAGATGACATTTTGTGAGATGAATAGTGTTTAAAATACTATCAAATCAATATGTGATTTAACATCAAACAGTTCTGTTTTGCCTCAGCATCAAGTGAATAGAGTTAATTACCACTAGAAAAGCTCCAGTGAGATTTCAAACTTCTAAAAATCAATAACTGTGTAAAGTTTGTGTGTGTGGGTGTGACTAATCCATTATTTACTAAAGAATTTTTAAATACCAATTGACCTAAATAACCGACATATTTAACCATTTTTATCAATTCCATTGAAACACTTTGTGTTGCTTCTAATATTAGTGACTTAACTAGACAACAGTCATTGCTGAGACCTTGGGTATGCTAATAACTTTCACATCAGGTGTTGATAGACTAACGAGGCCTCGGTTATTAGTGACTTAACTAGACTACAGTCATTCCTGAGGCCTTGAGTATGTAAGAAACTTTTACATCAGGTGTTGATAGACTAACAAGGCCTCGGTTATTAGTGAATAAACTAGACTACAGTCATTCCTAAGGCCTTGAATATGTAAGAAACTTTTACATCAGGTGTTGATAGACTAACTTTGATGAGACCACGGGTATTAGTGACTAAACTAGACTACAGTCATTGTGGAGGCCTCAGATATATATTGTGACTAACTTTGAAGAGGCCTTTGGTATTCATGACTAAACTAGACAACAATCATTAATGAGGCCTCAGATATATATTGTGACTAAATTTGACATCAGGTGTTTACGAGTCCTCAGATATTTGTGACTGAACAGTGGTTGATAAGCGATCTGGGACTAATATTGCTCTCAGGGTTTTGAAATTGATGTGAAATATAAATAAGACTAAAATTATTACAACACTGAAGCAATCAGTCAGTTTATCTGGAGAGAAAATTCTTCGGTGATATAGAAATTTTATGTTTTACTTCTATACCAGACAAAATTTGATACTAATAGCTACATGCCCTATGAGGTCAAATGGATGTGGTTCTCTATATCCGCAACAACTAGCTGTCTGGTCTTTTCTCATAAACTATGGACTTTCTGAAAATAAAACCCAGAAAGTAAGGAAACGAAGGAATTAAAACGGACTGAATATTTTGGTCATCAAATTGCCTTTCATTATAAATCATACTTCGCATGGTCTCAGCAGACAGATTATATTCTAGACAAACTCAAACTTAATATGACCTAAGTCCAGTCTGAATGCCCATGCAGAGGGGTCTTATTTATATACAGTGATCGATCTATAATTTATCTTAATGGGTCCTTGTTCTAAAAACAACCACCCATAATGTAAAATTTAAGTATGTCCGAAAATTCTTCAAAATCTATGGCTCACATGTACATTGATCACTGTATATAAGTAATTTAAAAAGCTCAGTGTTTTGATATATTTTGTTAACCCCATTGTTGGCCGCTCAAACACGACCCAACTGTTCATTAGAACAAGCTGATCTCCTTCTTACAATGGCACCATCAGTTATCTACACTAATCAATTTTCAGCGGAGAAATCAACATTGATACGGACCATAGACATATATAATTACCACATCAGGATTCGACCATCTCCAAATAACACAATCTCCCACAGCACTGAATCTAATATCAATCACTTTTGTTTGTTTGTTAGCTCTGCTAGCAGTAAGGGTCACTTGAAGGCTGAGTCACCTTGTAATAGTTGGTGGTCATCTCAAAGAACAACATACAGGAGGCCCATTACATACAATCTTGAGCACAAGGGATAAAATGCCCTGCTGAAAAACACTACAATGACAGAACTGCCTGGTCAGGCCATGTTTCAGCTTTCTGCATGAAATTGAATGACACAAACTACCGATGGTTGACATCTTGAACCACACATCTTGAAACTTCAATAAATCCCAATGCTCAACTGACTGAGCAACTGCTATTTGCTTTTTTTTTTGTTTTACACATCATCAATGTTTTTTCAAAAAGAGTAACAGTTTTTGAAAGAAGATTTTTTTCATTTGTATTACCAGCACTCACTGATACATCCAGGTAAGTATAAGTAGATGAAGGGGAGACAATACCATGTTTCTATTTGTGTATAAAGGGAGACAATTCCATGTAAAGATCTGTGAATGAAGGGGAGACAATTCTATTTAACTGTATAAGGGGGAGACAATGCCAAACAACTATCGATGAATAAGAGTGATATAATGCCTTGCATTTATCTGTGGATAAAGGTGAGGCAATGCCATGTAACTATCAAATGAAGGGGAGATAACTTCATGTACCTGTCAGTGAATGAAGGGGTAACAATTCTATGTAACTATTCATAAAATTTGTTAATGAAGAAAAGACCATTTCATTTAACTATCCGTGAATGAGACATCTAAAAATTTAAACATCCACTCCGACTTCAAAGTTTGTACCAGGAGATTGGAGGTCGTGAAATTTTGGGAATCACCATTTCTCATTCAAATATTAATCTATCACAGCATCTTAGAAATATTGCTTTACAGGTGGAAGAAGGGAGACAACTTACTGATAGCAGAATAGCCTGGTGTGAGTGGGTCTCCTATCAGGTTGTACCGGACATGGTAGAGCTGTATGGCCCATCCTGGGAGCCACCAGGTATGTGGGGCCAAGGATGATTGGTTATGAGCGAAGTCCACTGGATCGGAGTAAAAGATCACACCCACTGCCTTGTTGTCCTCCGCATGCCGCACCTGAGGAGGTCAAAGTTCAAAATGAAACCTTATACAGCAGTTCAATAAATTCCATCATTTGCATTCTGAGAGATTTATATTTTCAGGTGTCTTATCAAATCTATTTGTGAACCTAATCTCTAGTAGTTTCATTCTCTCATAAGCTTCTTTTAACTTTTCTTAAAGGAGATCAGAATTTTGGCTACTTGGCTAAAGGTGTTCTATAAATGTTTTATACATACAGATCTCATGATATCTGATGTTTATGTAATGTATACATTTTAATTACATGTCATTGATACAGCAACTGAAAGGCTGAAGTAATCCTGACAGAGAGACAGAGGAGATGATACAGAAATACGTAGAGAGATGGGCTGGGTTTTTTTCCCTTGTATCTTGTGTTGTTATGACAATTTACAGTACCCACAGGTCCATGGCAAGTCAGGCTCAAAATGAAACAAATAAGTCCATGATTTCTGATAATTCTTTTACACTAGCAAACTGACAGTATACCACCAGGGTATCAACTGCCTGTGAAGATTGAAATGTTGATACTTTCATCACCAAAATCTCAGACAGCAATAGAAAACAGTTTGCAGAAGCAGTTGTGATATAGAGCCAATGTTGAAGATGATTTAGATTGGTGAAAAAAACAAATGTCAACGTGACCCATGGTTAGTTATATCAGACTGTCATTTCCAAATGAAAACTGTGTTGTAATATATCAAACTTTGTACTGCTTTTGTGACAGGAAACAAATCAAGCCCTATTTAAATAAATGAAAGAAGCACAATAGGCCTTAAATAAATTTCTCAACTACTCTACAGTTTATATAGAAGACGTTTTGATTCATTAAGACATTTTCTGCAAACTTGAAATCATATTCTTTATACAAGTACTACACAAATAACATTACTCGGATGTATTGCTTGTTGAAAAAGCAAGCCACCAGTCAAATATATAGACCCTTGGCCTTTTGGTTATTGAGAAAAAGTAGCTTAGGCATTTCAACACATTTGACACCTGTGACCTTGAAATTTGGTCCAATATCAGCACCCTGGTCCTTTTCGTTATTGAGAAGAAGTCATTTAAACATTTTAACACATTTGATACCTGTGACCTGAAAGTGGGTCAATGTCATTCATATTAAAACACAGTTGGTAGCCCTACATTTTAGCATGCTACAGACCTAATATCATCATCCCTGGCCCCTGGTTATTGAAAAGAAGTAATTCAAAGATTTCAACATATTTGATCTCTTTGACCTTTCAAGCAGATCAAGGTCATTTCTATTAACTAGGTGTATTCAACTTTCTGAATTTCTGAAATAATTCCTTATTTTCAATGATGTTTCATACCAAATTTGGTTGAAAATCATTCAAGCATTAAGTAAGAGTGGCATTTTGAAGCAAAATATTGACTAACTTTCCCATTTGGGACTCCGCCAACACACAGGTCCCTACAGGTTGAATTAACTTCCTCAATTCAAGAAAATGTTCTCCACTCTTAATGATGTTTCAGACCAAATTTGGTTTAAATCCATTCAAGCGTTATAAGTAGTAGCGTTTTGAAGAAAATATTGTCTAATTTCCCCTTTTGGGGCCCCGTTCTAAAATCCCTAGGGGTTGAATCAACTTTCTGAATTTAAGAAATGAATCTCCATCCTTGATGATGTTTCAGAGCAAACTTGGTTGAAATTCATTCAAGCATTAAAAAGAAATAGCATTTTGAAGCAAAATATTGTCTAATTTCCCCTTTTGAGGCCCCAGCCCCAAGTGACTAGGGGTAGAACCAACTTTCTGAAGTTCAGAAATGATGCTCCACTCCTAATGATGCTTCAGACCAAATTCGTTTGAAATCCATTCAAGCATTAAGAAAGAGTGGCATTTTGAAGCAAAATATTGACTAACTTTCCCATTTTTGTCCCTGCCTACCCCCAGGTCTCTCTGGGTCAAATCAAGTTTCTGAATTAGAAGTAATTGCCTATCCTAACTGATGAATCAGGTCAAAGCTTGTTGAAGTCCACCCAGGCAGAAAGGAAGAGTCAGGTTTTAAATCTAATTTCAGCACCTCCCCCTTTTCAGCACTGTCCCCCGACTCCTTGAGGTCAAATCAAAATTCTGACTATAAGAAATAATTATCCTTTGATGCATCAGAGCAAATTTGGCTAAAATCCATCCAGGTATGAAAGAGGAGTAGGGTTTCAAAGCAAAAAGTTTACGTATGACACATGGTGAAGGACAATGCACAATGGCCGTAGGTCATCTTGACCCTTCAAGTCAGATGACTCAAAAATAAAGCACACTGATCCCCACTTTTATAATCATGAAAAGTATCCTCAAAAATTTCTCTACCAAAACCTAAATTCTTAAAAAAAGTTCAATACCAGAAGACGCTGAAATAAAAGATTTATATCATTTTGAAACATTTTCATTTTTTGGTTGTTATGGGGTTTAAAACTTGTTAAATCAAACGAAAACTTAGCATTATTGATGCCTGTACCACAAAAGTATTGCAGAAACATATCAATATTTTGCTTTTAATCTACTTTCTAAAATCAAACCTTTCAAAAATCATTGTCAGAAAAGATTTAATACGGAATTTTTTATACTTCTAGAAGAGTACAATCTTAAGGTTCACCAGCATAAATATAGGTCACAGTGACCCATTTGTTTTGGTACAAACAATCTGTTTTATCTCAAGACAGCATTATTGATACATGAGACAGTCCAAAATACACACCCTAAACAAATTATATTACAACAGACAGTCAGGGAGTCTCCTCTGCTCTCCTGGGTATAAATTACCTAAGGATGGGAAACTATATTCTACTATCCATACAAAATATTAATAACTGTCTGCTTTCAAACAGTTTATCTTAACTTTGAAATATTTGCACATCATAAGTTAGAGGTCATTTCAGTCTGCAGCAACATCAAAGGTACCATTGAATAAAACAAAAACTACCATATGTTGCTTGTGTGTTGGGACATATGTCTCCCGAGAGGGTCATTTAGAAGTGGTAACGCCGTACATCAAACACAGCAGTACAGTACCCTAACTACTCTGTAGGGATAATGTAGCAGCATCGCGATTGTTCAGATAAATGCGATCGCTTGGATAAATGCACATCCCTACAGACAATGAAAACAATTGTGATGCTGATACAATGAAGAGAAAGATATCAGAAATTTGTAGAATCAATATCAGCTGTTATAATGATATATTCCTTCATGTTTTGTGTACGGTGGAAATCTTATAATCGTCTCGTCTTTCGTCTGAATTTCCTGTGTCTTGTTTGGTGACACTATGGGTGAACATGACGCGCGATATTCTATTCTGTTTTTGGAAAAAAACACCAAAAACAAAATCATTATAAACAGATTAAGGGCAATCAATACTGCACATAAAATGGTGGACATCACTACAATCATGAAGAAATGATGGTTCAGTTTTCTGTGAAAATTTTGTGCTTAATTTTCATTAATCACTATGCATGGGCAGCAAATCACGTCAAATTCTTCAAGGGAGGCCTGGAAATTTTTCACCGAACAAGTTTATGAATATAATGGTGATCAATCATTTGTAAAAGTACAAGAGTTAGAAATATATGAAAGAATATTGTAGTTTGTCCAATCGTACATCAAAAGAGCTACAAATATCTAAATTCAAATTCATCACTAACAGCTCAGTGAGAAACTGACAACAAACATCACTACCATAGAGAGAATTTTTTTAAATATTGAATCTTTATTAATGTAAAAATAAGAACATTAATTCATAAGTTTTGTGTAATGGGATGATATCTGGCTAGGGATGTTGCCATGGAGATCAAACTGAAAACCTTATCAATTTAAAATAAAATATTTGATTGGACAGTAGAAAGAGGAATTTCAATAAGATTTAACGGGGCGGTCAGACTGCTTTATATTATCAGAGTACAACATCATTCTACAGTAAAGAAAATATTTCTGCCCATTTGATACAATAAATAAAAAAAAAATAATTTTATAAAATGATAAAAGAAAGGAAGACCCTTCACTACAGGAAGAATTCCGAACTCTTTATTATATTTGCAAATAGATCAATACATCACCTGGAAATATCAAGATTTTCTGGAACTGTAATTCAAACACCTTCGGGCCATCTCAGAGAACTTTAATTAGATAATATTTATTTCAAACAAATACTGCTATCCTTTTTGTTTCAAAAAAATGATTATTAGGATGAATAATCACAGACTAAGGCAGATCTTTGGGAGACAATATTGTAGTAACAACATCATGCTTCAGGGGGAAAACTATCTCAGACTAAGGCAGATCTTTGAGAGACAATATTGTAGTAACAACATCATGCTTCAGGGGGGAAAACTATCTCACACTAAGGCAGATCTTTGAGAGACGATATTGTGGTAACAACATCATGCTTCAGGGGGGAAAACTGACAACAAAACTGACAAAGATAACATGACAAATTAAAGGCAACACATCATACAACATTACAAACCACACAGACAACACAACCTTTTATAGACAACACAACATTTTGTAGATGACACAATGTTGATTGATAACATAACATTGATCGACAACACAATCTTTTATAGACAAAACATCATTTTACAGACAACATAACATTGATAGACAACACAATCTTTTATAGACAACATAACATTGATAGACAACATAACATTGATAGACAACACAATCTTCTATAGACAATCGTATTGGTATAATGTGCAAAATAATAGTATCTTGATTATTCACAAAGTTTACGACATCAGAATCACACACCCAACAAAATAGTTCAGCAGAGAAATCAATGTTTTTTTTCTGAGTCATAGTTTTATATCCATTCTGAATTAGCCAATCTTAACGATTCTACAAGTAGTAGGAGGTCACACATCCTTTTATGATTTACATGGCAATAAAAATGTGTGATAAAATCCGAAAAAGGTGAAAACAAATGTTGCGTGACAAAATAATGAATTCCAAGCCATCGGACACAGGAAAATATTTACCCGAGGCCAGTATCAAGCTGATTAATGTGTTTCTTGTGTGGAAATTTAATTATAATGAAAATCACAAATATTCTCTGAAAAAATCAAAAAACGGTTAAGCATCTACACATATTATTTTGTTGACCGAGAAAAAATACTTCAAAGTTTTAAATTTCATCTAAAACCTTAGACTGAAATTTTTTTTCATCAACCCTTGGGAGCCTCAGTACTCAAAGTCATCAGCTGTAAAATTACCTGGCATTGATTTCACGTCTATTGTAGAGTTAATGACCAAAAACAATGAATTTGAATGACAGACTGCCTTTGTTTGGATTTATTGACATGCAGTTACCATGACAACCAAATATGATCCACAGAATCAGATGATGAAAATGTTAGGGTGGGATTAATGAATTTCCGTTTTCTACCCCGGGTTCACTTAAATCTCCGTGACTCCAAACAAGGTAATATCTGGAATAATTTCCTCTGATAATTCATTACTTGTGTATAGAGTAAAAGGCCTATGGGGCCCATAAAATCCACTTACTTTACTCGCTTAACTTTATGGAATTCATTACAGAGAAATCAAAATATCAATTAGGTTCAATCTATAGAGGACAGGACTGAATATTTTTATTTCCTAAATAGAACCAAACCCTGAAAAGTCTGCCAATATCTGGTGGCTCAATCATAAGCAAATCCACTTAACAGTTACTGGGTCAATTGTTCTGAGATCTGGTGAGGAAAGGTCAACAGAACAAGTCTAGGGCCAGTAACTAGGTCAATTGTTCTGAGGTCTGGTGAGGAAAGGCCAACAGAACAAGTCTAGGGCCAGTAACTAGGTTAATTGTTCTGAGGTCTGGTGAGGAAAGGTCAACAGAACAAGTCTAGGGCCAGTAACTAGGTCAATTGTTCTGAGGTCTGGTGAGGAAAGGTCAACAGAACAAGTCTAGGGCCAGTAACTAGGTCAATTGTTCTGAGGTCTGGTGAGGAAAGGTCAACAGAACAAGTTTAGGGCCAGTAACTAGGTCAATTGTTCTGAGGTCTGGTGAGGAAAGGTCAACAGAACAAGTCTAGGGCCAGTAACTAGGTCAATTGTTCTGAGGTCTGGTGAGGAAAGGTCAACAGAACAAGTCTAGGGCCAGTAACTAGGTCAATTGTTCGGAGGTCTGGTGAGGAAAGGACAACAGAACAAGTCTAGGGCCAGTAAATAGGTCAATTGTTCGGAGGTCTGGTGAGGAAAGGACAACAGAACAAGTCTAGGGCCAGTAACTAGGTCAATTGTCCTGAGGTCTGGTGAGGAAAGGTCAACAGAACAAGTCTATGGCCAGTAACTAGGTCAATTGTTCTGAGGCATGTTGATGAGAAAACACAAACAAAATTAGAACTTAGGTTTAATGAACACAAGAATGAGATAATTACTGAGATTTAGTAGAGGTTTATAAACAAAAGTTACATCCATATAGCTGGTAATTATGAAATAACTGCAATACTCAAAATTCTTGAAACTTTTATCTAAGATATCAGATTATGTTCTGTTAGCCAAAGACAAGATCTAAAACTGATCAAATGAAGAACGTTAATTCAAAAGTGATAAATCACAAGACACAGTGAGAAGATCTGTACAAGTTAAACTTACCTTGTTGGCCGCATGGATTTTCCCATACTTAATGATGACTATTGTGCCTGTTACATTGATGTGCATGAGACTCAGCTCCTCAAAATCTTGCTTAGTACCATAGTTTGCATAGACTAGTTTACCCTGAAAGAACAACCAGATCGAAAAATTAACATTTCAACATTTGCGAAGAGTTATCTCCCCTAAGGTAAGATACCTAAGTGGTAGTTGCTACATTGTTTGGGGACACAAATGTAGCACATGTAGTTATCTCCCTTAGTTGAGGTTATTTGAGAGAGTGTACCAATTTGTACATAACAAAGCTATAAAGAAACTATGTCAACAGAAGGTTGTTATGAAACGTAAATTCATTGAAATGAAGGCAAAATGACAAAAAGAAAGATGTACACAGAGACCTTTGACATAGTACAAAGAGAACAAGACCAGGTGTTTCAGAAGATTTAGAGTCTTCTGCTTCTGTAATATTATGTTCCCTTATGAGAATAAAATAAACAAGAACGAAAGCACTAAGCATACCATCGGCCATTAAACATGTCAACTTTCATATCATATTTACCAATGAAATCATCATGACAACCATAAAAGTTATCTGTCATCTTTCAAAGGCCTTTGTTATGAGGCTATTTGTGAACTGCCAACACTTTGTAATCAACTGTGACATGTAAACACCATTGAGTTGGGAAGCAGGGATGTTGCTGTCAAGAAAGGACATTATATAAGACACAAATAGTCATGTTCCTTAGCCTTTCAGTTACCTTCACAGTCAGTGCTGGAGAGAATGCATTTTATTTGTTTAAAGGACAGGTTATATCTAATACATAAATAGTTATCTCCCTTAGTTACCTTCACAGCAAGTGCTGGAGAGAATGCGTTGAACGGCATGTACTCTGGATGTACGTTGGACATGTTTGAATGGGTCTCCATTATCACAGTTGAATTTGGTGCTCTCACAACTACGCTGTTCGGATTTGTACTGAAAAGAAAGCAGATATTTATGTAACTGTATATAGTACATTTCATACATATATCCAAACACTTAATATTAAGAGCAAGAAGTCGTATTGGGGTTAGAAAGTTGTATGTTCTGAGCTGCAAGTTGTACTTCAAGCTGGAAGTTCTTTCTAGAACTAAAAGTTGAATTTTGATTCTGTAGTTGTATCTAGTGTAGGAAGTTGTACTTATACAGTATAAAGTTACATAGTTGAAAGTTGTACCTATAGTAAGAAGTTGTACAAAATAATTGAATTTAGAGTTGGAAGTTGTACAAAGTGGATAGTTTTGCAGTCAGAAGTTGTAATTTGTTTACAAAATTGAAATTAAAATTGGACCTTACATTCCAAAGAATTGGATATTGTATTTAAAGTCCTAAAAAAAAGTTGTAATTGAAGTTGGAAGTTGTACTTGAAAGATAAAATTGTATTTAGAGTTGGAAGTTGTACTTAAAAGGTAAAGTTGTATTTAGAGTTGGAAGTTGTACTTAAAAGATAAAATTGTATTTAGCATTGGAAGTTGTACTTAAAAGGTAAAGTTGTATTTAGAGTTGGAATTTGTACTTAAAAGGTAAAGTTGTATTTAGATTTGGAAGTTGTACTTAAAAGGTAAAGTTGTATTTAGAGTTAGAAGTTGTACTTAAAAGGTAAAGTTGTATTTAGAGTTGGAAGTTGTACTTAAAAGGTAAAGTTGTATTTAGAGCTAAAAGTTGTACTTAAAAGATAAAATTGTATTTAGAGTTAGAAGTTGTACTTAAAAGGTAAAGTTGTATTTAGAGTTAAAAGTTGTACTTAAAAGATAAAATTGTATTTAGAGTTAGAAGTTGTACTTAAAAGGTAAAGTTGTATTTAGAGTTAGAAGTTGTACTTAAAAGATAAAATTGTATTTAGAGTTGGAAGTTGTACTTAAAAGATAAAATTGTATTTAGAGTTGGAAGTTGTACTTAAAAGGTAAAGTTGTATTCAGCATTGGAAGTTGTACTTTGTGTACAAATTTTGTACTTTAGGAACACAAAGTTGTACTTGGATATATATGAAGCAGCACATAAAGGGTATGAAGTTATACTTAGAATATATATTGTACTTCGTAGTATGGGAATGAGGTTGCCCTTTAGGGTATGAAGCGTGTACTTGGAGTATGAAAATATACACAGAATGTGACGTAAGTGTTTAGATAAAGTGGTATGTAAGGATATATAAACTAAACTTGGAATATCAAGATTTGCTATCCAGTGAGGTGAAGTGATTTGCTATCCAGTGAGGTGAAGTGATTTGCTATCCAGTGAGGTGAAGTGATTTGCTATCCAGTGAGGTGAAGTGATTTGCTATCCAGTGACGTGAAGTGATTTGCTATCCAGTGAGGCAAAGTGGTATGTAAGGATATATGTACTGAACCTGGAATATCAAGATTTGCTATCCAGTGAGGTGAAGTGATTTGCTATCCAGTGAGGTGAAGTGATTTGCTATCCAGTGAGGCAAAGTGGTATGTAAGGATATATGTACTGAACCTGGAATATCAAGACTTGCTATCCAGTGAGGTGAAGTGGTATGTAAGGCTATATGGACTGAACCTGAATATCAAGATTTGCTATCCAATGAGGTGAAGTGATTTGCTATCTAGTGAGGTGAAGTGATTTGCTATCCAGTGAGGTGAAGTGATTTACTATCCAGTGAGGTGAAGTGATTTGCTATCCAGTGAGGTGAAGTGATTTGCTATCCAGTGAGGTGAAGTGATTTGCTATCCAGTGAGGCAAAGTGGTATGTAAGGATATATGTACTGAACCTGGAATATCAAGACTTGCTATCCAGTGAGGTGAAGTGATTTGCTATCCAGTGACGTGAAGTGGTATGTAAGGATATATGTACTGAACCTGGAATATCATGATTTGCTATCCAGTGAGGTGAAGTGATTTGCTATCCAGTGAGGTGAAGTGATTTGCTATCCAGTGAGGTGAAGTGATTTGCTATCCAGTGAGGTGAAGTGATTTGCTATCCAGTGAGGCAAAGTGGTATGTAAGGATATATGTACTGAACCTGGAATATCAAGACTTGCTATCCAGTGAGGTGAAGTGATTTGCTATCCAGTGAGGTGAAGTGATTTTCTATCCAGTGAGGTGAAGTGATTTGCTATCCAGTGAGGCAAAGTGGTATGTAAGGATATATGTACTGAACCTGGAATATCAAGACTTGCTATCCAGTGAGGTGAAGTGATTTGCTATCCAGTGAGGTGAACCAGTGAGGTGAAGTGATTTGCTATCCAGTGAGGTGAAGTGATTTGCTATCCAGTGAGGTGAAGTGATTTGCTATCCAGTGAGGCAAAGTGGTATGTAAGGATATATGTACTGAACCTGGAATATCAAGACTTGCTATCCAGTGAGGTGAAGTGATTTGCTATCCAGTGAGGTGAACCAGTGAGGTGAAGTGATTTGCTATCCAGTGAGGTGAAGTGATTTGCTATCCAGTGAGGTGAAGTGATTTGCTATCTAGTGGGGTGAAGCGGTACGTAAGGCTATATGAACTGAACCTGGAATATCAAGATTTGCTATCCAGTGAGGTGAAGTGATTTGCTATCCAGTGAGGTGAACCAGTGAGGTGAAGTGATTTGCTATCCAGTGAGGTGAAGTGATTTGCTATCCAGTGAGGCAAAGTGGTATGTAAGGATATATGTACTGAACCTGGAATATCAAGACTTGCTATCCAGTGAGGTGAAGTGGTATGTAAGGCTATATGGACTGAACCTGAATATCAAGATTTGCTATCCAATGAGGTGAAGTGATTTGCTATCCAGTGAGGTGAAGTGATTTGCTATCCAGTGAGGTGAAGTGATTTGCTATCCAGTGAGGCAAAGTGGTATGTAAGGATATATGTACTGAACCTGGAATATCAAGACTTGCTATCCAGTGAGGTGAAGTGATTTGCTATCCAGTGAGGTGAAGTGATTTGCTATCCAGTGAGGTGAAGTGATTTGCTATCCAGTGAGGTGAAGTGATTTGCTATCTGGTGAGGTGAAGCAGTATGTAAGGATATATTAACTGGACCTGGAATATCAAGATTTGCTATCCAGTGAGGTGAAGTGATTTGCTATCCAGTGAGGTGAAGTGATTTGCTATCCAGTGAGGTGAAGTGATTTGCTATCCAGTGAGGTGAAGTGATTTGCTATCCAGTGAGGTGAAGTGATTTGCTATCCAGTGAGGTGAAGTGATTTGCTATCCAGTGAGGTGAAGTGATTTGCTATCTGGTGAGGTGAAGCAGTATGTAAGGATATATTAACTGGACCTGGAATATCAAGATTTGCTATCCAGTGAGGTGAAGTGATTTGCTATCCAGTGAGGTGAAGTGATTTGCTATCCAGTGAGGTGAAGTGATTTGCTATCCAGTGAGGTGAAGTGATTTGCTATCTGGTGAGGTGAAGCAGTATGTAAGGATATATTAACTGGACCTGGAATATCAAGATTTGCTATCCAGTGAGGTGAAGTGATTTGCTATCTAGTGAGGTGAAGTGATTTGCTATCCAGTGAGGTGAAGTGATTTGCTATCCAGTGAGGTGAAGTGATTTGCTATCCAGTGAGGTGAAGTGATTTGCTATCTGGTGAGGTGAAGCAGTATGTAAGGATATATTAACTGGACCTGGAATATCAAGATTTGCTATCCAGTGAGGTGAAGTGATTTGCTATCCAGTGAGGTGAAGCGGTACGTAAGGTTATATGAACTGAACCTGGAATATCAAGATTTGCTATCTAGTGAGGTGAAGTGATTTGCTATCCAGTAAGGTGAAGTGGTACGTACGGATATATGAACTGAACCTTGAATATCAACATTTGCTATCTAGTGAGGTGAAGTGATTTGCTATCCAGTGAGGTGAAGTGGTACGTAAGGATATATGGACTGAACCTGGAATATTGAGATTTGCTATCCAGTGAGTGCTTCCATGTAATAATATTATACTTACTAGTTTGGGTAAGACAGCGTCACACCATATTTGCGAATGTCTATGCTGTCAAACCTGAAGGTTCCCCACATTTCTCGGACATACTTAATGAACCTGTTGGTATACCCCACTCCTGATAGATGTACAAACTCTGTTACTTTACTGAAACAAACAAATCATTTCAGTTTGAAGAAACAAAAACTCTCATCTTATTCAAATATTATAGTATCACATACCCCCTTAAACCCATAGCTCTGATTATACAACAAAAAGTCCCCTTCATCAATAATTACTCGACAACAAATCTTGAAAAAATCCCTTCATCTGTCAGGGCTCTCACACCCCATTATGGGACTGGGGCCCGGGGCCCTTTGAATTGGGAAAAAATAATGATGTTTTCCTTAGAATTGGGAAAACTTGGGGTCTAAATTGGGAAAAAAAGATACTATTTTGCATTGGGAATGGGACCGAATATCAGCCCTAAATCTGGCAGATCGAGAGCCCTGTCTGTCTACAAAGAGGAAATCTTTAAATGCTCTCCTCCTCTGGCTCCTGAGGGTGGGATAAACCTTCTTTTTATGACAGAGCGAAAACCTCTTTACCTCTCACATTTTGAGGCTGTTGATTACTGAACCAAGTCCACATCCCCATATCAGAGACTCTTAATATAATTATATATAATAATTACCCCCAAGTTTTTTCTATTGGTGCTCTTGGCTCGTTTTCTCCCTGACATTTATAAAGGGTCTCTAGGTTTATCTGTCATTGGTTCATGTCTTGTCTTCGTTGCATTGACTTTAAATTTGGATCAAGATGTAATTGATATGACAGTATGTTCTTGTTTTTATCTGGAACTCTTCTCTCCTTGAAGGTTCTAAAGTCAATGAACCCTCAGATATAACGGATGTACCTTGAAATAACCCAAGGAGGTCAACAAGGAATCTGACTTAAAAGTAGGGAGGTGGGCTTATTATAGGACAATGATATAGTATCTGTAGTCATAACCTCAGATTCAAAGTAGGGAGTTGGGCTTATTACAGGACAATGATATAGTATCTGTTTTCATAAGCTCTGACTCAAAGTAGCGAGGTAGACTTACTACAAGACAATATTATCTAACTGCACAGAGGCGGGCTTATTGCTAGGTATATTGATTGACATAATTGTCAGTAACTGTTCCTGTCAATTAAATAAATTTTCAAATTTTTTAAACATCAAATTTAATTTAATATCGTTTTCATGTCCTAATAGATTAACATAGTCCTTCAAGCTTAATCAATAACTACACATTTGGACTAAGTCGGCTGATAAATAGTAACATTATTAAACATTTATCATCATAAAGTACAGTACAACGTCTTAATGTGTGGAAGCCATTATTGGTGTACCTTGAATTGCACACTTAATGTCTGGTTCAATCACCACATATTGAGAGACAATCAAATCATTCTTAACACTTCTGTACTTTAACTCTTTGAGAAAACTTGCGAAAAGTTTAAGATAAAATTGTTGGTACTATTTGCAGCTGAAATTTCAATGGAGACGGTTACTTAGTTCAGAGAAATGTATAAATGGTCCAAGAACCTGCTCTCTTTACCTGTGTGGTAGAAATAGAGGATATGTTACTTGAGTGTCAATATAATATGGAATTCAATCCAAATTATATCAGCACTAGTACAAGATTCTATTCATCCATGTATATATTACCCTTACTTTTTGTTTCAAGTGAGTAAACACCCCAAAATCAATTTCCTTACAAGACAACATGCTTTAAACTATGACAATGTTGTGACATCCTCAACATGTGGCTTACATGATATTGCTATAGTGATACAATATTTATGACATTCATGGTCATATGACAAGACACAACAGGTTTTATCACCTTCCATCAGTCCTGTTTATAATGATAGGGAGACATCAATTCACCATTTATGTGTTTTTGATATTTAGACTCAGCAGACAGCAGCACAGGGGCCTTTAACAATGTTTCTAGAGGATGAGAGCTTGTATGGTTTACATTATATCTAGTAAACCATATACCTACAAACCTGCATTCTCTAGAAACATTGTTACAGGCCCCTGTGATAGTATACCATACATACCCTTATCCCCAGAAACATTGTTACAGGCCCCTGTGATAGTATACCATACATACCCTTATCCCCAGAAACATTGTTACAGGCCCCTGTGATAGTATACCATACATACCCTTATCCCCAGAAACATTGTTACAGGCCCCTGTGATAGTATACCATACAGACCCTCATTCCCCAGAAACATTGTTACAGGCCCCTGTGATAGTATACCATACAGACCCTCATTCCCCAGAAACATTGTCACAGCCCCTGTGATAGTACACCATACAGACCCTCATCTCCCAGAAACACTGTTACAGGCCCCTGTGATAGTATACCATACAGACCCTTATCCCTCAGAAACATTGTTACAGGCCCCTGTGATAGTATACCATACAGACCCTCATCTCCCAGAAACATTGTTACAGGCCCCTGTGATAGTATACCATACAGACCCTCATTCCCCAGAAACACTGTTACAGGTCCCCTGTGGACACAGTGTTGGTCTGTTCTAAACTCCACTTATCCTGATTATAATGATAGGAAGACACCAATTTACCTGCCACGATATTTTGAGACAAGTATGTAGGACTTCAGTGTTTGTTTGTTCTACATCCTATTGCATTTAAAATTCTAATGAAAAGATGTGATGAATTAATCCTAGTCAGCATGCTGAGTAGGAAATCACATGATTATCAAACCAGGAAATGGTTAAATATAAAGTCAATTGATATCATGAAGCCTTCAATCCAATGCGGAAATAGAAATATGAATTTTTATTGATATTTGAAAACCTGGACCCATCAATCCAGGACTTGCTATCAAATCTCCATTAAAAACAACACTGATTAATCTACCAGAAAATAAAAAATGAAGTTTCTATGAATTCTTCACATTGCTGTGTTAATTAATTTCTTCTATATTTGGAAATATCAGCTTATCGCTGTGATTTACTAAACTCTGATCCTTACCCAGAGTAAACCTCTCCGTTAAACACCTGTGTCCCTAAAAGGTATTCACTTACAGAGGTAATGATTGATCATGCCCAGTCACAGGGTGACCCTAAAATCTGTACATTTTCAGTGTAATGCACAGTTACAGGCCCATGAAGGTTAAACGTAATGAACTTGTAAATCGTTTAAGTATTTTCTTGTGGTCATGAGGATGGGTTAAATTTCCAACATCAGTGATCAGTAATCTGGCTACTGATCAGGACAACCAATCAATTACTAGCTTGTTTATCCAATGGCAATTAGTTGTAGTCTTGTTTATTATCATTATTCTTTTAAAGTACCTTGTACATAGTGACCGATGACATTTCTTTCGTTCATAGCTTATTTGAGCATAGCACATTATCAATTCTCAAATAAAAAGTCTGTTTTAAACTGACAAGTCCTTCTGATACTAGAAGTTGTAGAAGGTGAGGGTAGACATGTTCACCTTTCTAGCCTTGGCTAGTGGGAGTATCTTTAGTCTAGTAGTAGAGTGTGAGGATCAAACCAAAGGCCAGGTCACTATAGCCTGGAGAATCATCTGTATTGATGGAGGTGAAATCCAGGAAAAAGAAGAATTCAAGCCATAAGTCTCACACCCCAGCAGCTAGCAGCTCCTTACTCCTTCCAATTATCTATATTAATTACTGCATCAAAATCAAGGAAGATCTAAACATGTTCATTTCAGATTCAAAATATAAACCAATCATGCATTCAGTTTCCAGATACAATAAAAAATGACTGCACAATAGGTTTCATTTCAACGGAAAACGAGTTGATAAATCCTTGCTCGTGATTATACATCACGAGACTATGGAGTACAATCGATTTGCTGATATAACATGATATAAGGAAAAACTTGTGTAGGCTATTTGCTGTTCAAGCATTTAAGCATGCTTGTCATGATACCTTGTAGAATCATAATTAGGCCTATAAGCTTATGACGAAAACATGAACACATAATCAAATCTGTTGCCAATATGTAGATAATTACTAACCTTTTATTTGTACAAACTCAACGACATTATCGAACGACTGCTTTGTTCACATCTATGTAGTTTGTCAGCTGTATTTTATTTCTTTCAGCAATATATCTTTCACACTCTTTATTGTTTTCTCATCCACACTTACGAGCAGAGTTTATCAAAGCTGAGTTTATCAAAGCAGACTTTATCAAAGCTGAGTTTATCAAAGCAGACTTTATCAAAGCAGACTTTATCAAAGCTGAGTTTATCAAAGCAGACTTTATCAAAGCAGACTTTATCAAAGCTGAGTTTATCAAAGCAGACTTTATCAAAGCTGAGTTTATCAAAGCAGACTTCATCAAAGCTGAGTTTATCAAAGCAAACTTTATCAAAGCAGACTTTATCAAAGCTGAGTTTATCAAAGCTGAGTTTATCAAAGCAGACTTTATCAAAGCAGGCTTTTTCAAAGCTGAGTTTATCAAAGCAGACTTTATCAAAGTTGAGTTTATCAAAGCAGACTTTATCAAAGCTGAGTTTATCAAAGCAGACTTTATCAAAGCTGAGTTTATCAAAGCAAACTTTATCAAAGCAGACTTTATCAAAGCTGAGTTTATCAAAGCTGAGTTTATCAAAGCAGACTTCATCAAAGCAGGCTTTTTCAAAGCTGAGTTTATCAAAGCAGACTTTATCAAAGCTGAGTTTATCAAAGCTGAGTTTATCAAAGCAGACTTTATCAAAGCTGAGTTTATCAAAGCTGAGTTTATCAAAGCAGACTTTATCAAAGCAGACTTTTTCAAAGCTGAGTTTATCAAAGCTGAGTTTATCAAAGCAGACTTTATCAAAGCAGACTTTATCAAAGCTGAGTTTAAGCTAACAACTGACTACTCTAGTCATTGTTGTTTGGTATAAAAAGTTTTCATTAACAATTTAATTTATTTATTGTTATCATATAATTTTCAAAAGTGAAAAGTAATTCAAACATCTATTTGATAAATAATGTCAGAAACTCAATCTCTGAAGTCTGTCGTGGTAAAACTAGTGAAAATGAAACCAAAATACAACCTTCTGGTTTTAGAACTATGTTGGAAATCACTTGCCGACAATAATATAATATCTTCTGAAGAATAGTCAACACCTTTTGCTTATGTTGTGAAATTAAGACCTTATCACAAAATATCTAGTATATAAGAAACTAAGAATGTATGGTCGAAGAGACTCAAACGGTGCTAAAAATAACTTTTTCTTCAAACAGAAAAGAAGCTTAGCAGTATCTGCATGAGATAATTCCAAGATGTCATATACAACACAACATTTTATCAAGTATCACATTTTAGCAGGCTGATTTTAATCTTTCTATCTTATATACATATCTTTATAAAATATTTACAGCATCAACTACTTCCTGAACTAATTTCAAAACACATTTCCTTTCCTTTCTGCGGAGCTACATATGCATTGTTGTTTTTTTTGTAGTGTAAACTTGGGTCCAGGCTAAAAATAGACTAGCAAGCAGCTAGGAGATGATCTAGGTGATGGCTACATACGCCGAGCTTCCTACAGAAACACAGTGTGTAAACTTCTGTGTCACATCCTTCCATACTCAAAAGCTATAACCTTCTTGGCCATACCCCTCTGTACACCTAAAAGCTATAACCTTCTGGGCCACACCACTCTGTACACCCCAAAGCTATAACCTTCTGGGCCACACCCCTCTGTACACCCAAAACCTACAACCTTCTGGGCCACACCCCTCTGTACACCCCAAAGCTATAACCTTCTGGGTCACACCCCTCTGTACACCCAAAACCTATAACCTTCTGGGCCACACCCTTCTGTACACCTAACAACTATAACTTCTGGGCCACACCCCTCTGTACACCTAAAAGCTATTACCTTCTGGGCCACACCCCTCTGTACACCTAAAAGCTGTAACTTTCTAGGCCACACCCCTCTGTACACCTAACAACTATAACCTTCTGGGCCACACCCCTCTGTACACCTAACAACTATAACCTTCTGGGCCACACCCCTCTGTACACCTAAAAGCTATAACCTTCTAGGCCACACCCCTCTGTACACCTAACAACTATAACCTTCTGGGCCACACCCCTCTGTACACTTAAAAGCTATAACCTTCTAGGCCACACCCCTCTGTACACCTAACAACTATAACCTTCTGGGCCACACCCCTCTGTACACTTAAAAGCTATAACCTTCTGGGCCACACCCCTCTGTACACTTAAAAGCTATAACCTTCTAGGCCACACCCCTCTGTACACCTAAAAGCTGTAACTTTCTAGGCCACACCCCTCTGTACACCTAACAACTATAACCTTCTGGGCCACACCCCTCTGTACACCTAAAAGCTATAACCTCCTGGGCCACACCCCTCTGTACACCTAAAACAACTATAACCTTCTGGGCCACACCCTTCTGTACACCTAACAAGCTATACACTTAAAAGCTATAACTTCTAGGCCACACCCCTCTGTACACCTAAAAGCTGTAACTTTCTAGGCCACACCCCTCTATACACCTAACAACTATAACCTTCTGGGCCACACCCCTCTGTACACCTAAAAGCTATAACCTTCTGGGCCACACCCCTCTGTACACCTAACAACTATAACCTTCTGGGCCACACCCCTCTGTACACCTAACAACTATAACCTCCTGGGCCACACCCCTCTGTACACCTAAAAGCTATAACCTTCTGGGCCACACCCTTCTGTACACCTAAAAGCTATAACTTCTGGGCCACACCCTTCTGTACACCTAAAAGCTATAACAGTCTGGGCCAAAGCCTTCTGTTCCCGGAACCAATCAACTTCTGCATTACATTAGTATCCTTTTGTTCTCAAAAGCTATACAATTCTGGCCAAATGAATTTCCTATACGTTTAGTGAATCATTTCCGTGATGAGTTTTACAAGCCGCCTGATGTCCAGATTCTAAGTTGTCATTTATTCAAAATATATGAATGAAGAAATAGCACACAACCTAGATTCTAACATCAGTATAATACAAATTTAGCTTTTTTCTTGTCTTCACTTTATTGGTTCTAAATATATTGCAATGTTCTGAGCTAAATTTGTCTTGAAAGTGGCTAAGTTATCATATCTTTATATACAAGTGCTAAAAATGTCATATATGGCCTGGCTTGTCTGGATTATTCCTGTTTTTGACATCAATTACGCCAGTTAATGACCAGAACTGACTGACCCTTACCATCGTCACACTCGCCAAATGACCACTAATTGATCTGGGCAATTAAATGTCTATTTCATTGCACTAGGTGTCAAATGAATCGGGAAACTAGATAAGATGGCATACAGGATGTCAGACAGGCTGCACCTGAGTTGGCAAGGTCACTGGCGGTCAAATTGTGTTTAAATCAATTCATGATGACTAGAAACAGGAACTCCATATACTGTTGCACGAGAAAACGTGATAAAATGAACATAATGTTTATCAGGAAAAAATTAATACTGTACTAATCCAGCAATAAATAAACCCATGTTTCTTAATAAGCCCACCCATATCTACATTGTATTTCCATGCAGTGAAGTATCACCAATTAAACTTATCTTAATGTCCTGTACTGAGTCCATCCCTGTGGTTTAAAGGTTTTGAATGAGAGATAATTTATCGTCGTCCCAATGGGCTTATTATGGGATATATATGGTATAATACAACATAAACTGTACATGTTAAAAAGACGGAAAATGGTGGACAATTACCTTATATGGTCATCAAAATTATTGGCATCGTTAAGGTCTTGCTGAATCAGGAGTCGTAGCTTATCGTCAAAATCTTGAATTTCCTGAAAGATTGAAAAAAAATAAAATGATTATACAGAATATTTCAGTACAGAAAATGACAACTAAACTTCTATTAAATAAAATGTTCACTCATTTTTAGAAATTGTTGACAAAAACTACTAGAACGGTGAATCCGAGAAATCTACTACATGATGCCAACGTAAAGGTGCAGACATTCTTTGGCTGGTTTATTTTACGTAACTTCCTTGATTCTGACTGTTAATACTAGCTTTACCCCTCTACCCCTCAGGATTGAAATGGGATTTAACCCATACTCCTCACCTCAACTGACCATCTAACCCCCTCCCCCAGCCAGATTACCCCCTACCCCTCACCTCATCTGACCTTCTAACTCCCTCCCCCAGCCAGATTACCCCCCCTATCCCTCACCTCATCTGACCTTCTAAACCCTTCCCCCAGCCAGATTACCCCCCTACCCCTCACCTCATCTGACCTTCTAACCCCTTCCCCCAGCCAGATTACCCCCCTACCCCTCACCTCATCTGACCCTCTAACCCCTTCCCCCAGCCAGATTACCCCCCTACCCCTCACCTCATCTGACCCTCTAACCCCCTCCCCCAGCCAGATTACCCCCCTACCCCTCACCTCATCTGACCTTCTAACCCCCTCCCCAAGCCAGATTACCCCCTACTCCTCACCTCATCTGACCTTCTAACCCCCTCCCCAAGCCAGATTACCCCCCTACCCCTCACCTCATCTGACCTTCTAACCCCCTCCCCCAGCCAGATTACCCCCTTACCCCTCACCTCATCTGACCTTCTAACCCCCTCCCCAAGCCAGATTACCCCCTACTCCTCACCTCATCTGACCTTCTAACCCCCTCCCCCAGCCAGACTACTGAGAATCTTCGACATAAACATAAAATTTTCCCACAAGACTGCAGAAATACATATAACTGCTATATTACATTATGTTACATAATTGAAATAAAATATATATCGACCATAACTATATCTACCAAAATGTCGCCCACTTCCTCAGATATGCAGAATGGAAGATATCCTTATCACAAGGGGCATCTGCGAAGCATCTGAGAAATGAAACCTTTTTTTTTATTTCAAAATTAATTCTTTTTAACTTTCATTGTTAGCTTTAATGGCCTATTAACACAAAAACGGTCATTCATTTGGAAGAGCCAATATATTAGGGCCTGCAAAGAAATGACATTCAATTAATATTCAAACTAAAATTTTGAACGACCGAATGTAGAAACACTCAGTTTAAAAAAACAAAAAGTGAATAAGTTGTGTCTTGTACAGACCATGAGCTTTGAGCGAGTCTAGAATTCTGTAAATATCTATCGCCTCTAACACAAGTTTTGGATACATTACTAACTGTATTGAACAGGCTATTTTATAATAACTATAAAAACAAACACAGCGAATGAAAAAATCAATAACAATTATGATAGAGAAATACCAATATAATGGGCAGCTGTTTTACAGTAATTAAACAAATATTCACAGGTCCCATCAATAGTACAGTGGCTTAAAGCCCATGATTTTATTTCCACAGAATCTGTGATATATTTGCCATTTTTATAGTTACATGTATACACTAATTTGTAAATTGATCTGATTCAGACGTTGACTATGATGTGACCAACAGATACAGGGTGTTCATTGCTGTGCTGAAGTATGACTAAGGTCCATAATCTTGTAAACATTTCACAAGCACCAAAGTGCATGGTTGGTAGGCATGTATGTGAATGTTGGTCCGTAAAACTTTACGCATTAATTTACTCATGCAAAGTATGCATTGTTACAAATCCCTAAATAGCTAACGTCACAATATTTATGGCGCAACAATGTTGATGAACGGTTTGACGAAAGTAGCATAGAACTTTTATCTCAAATCTTATTTTCGTTATTATGGTATGGAACATATGTTGTAAAATTCTTTTGGAAAAATGCATATATGTGGTATGTGTTAAATTTTCATCATCACCAACACATTAAGTATTGTCATTTTCTATCTGAGAGTCCAGCTGCTCGTCTCTGTTGATGCAGTCAAGTAGAGCAATGTTTGTATCTTTGAATTTAGAGTATATTCTTAGCTTCCATGCCTTTTTTAAATGAATTCTGAAAGATTTCTATGATTTGATAAATTACTGCAGCCGTTGTCATAGACGCAACTACGAGGAACACTAAAAAGTCTCATTAGGATTGAGTGACATTAACATTGGTGTAACCTCGTAGCCTTTATGGAAAAAACTATTTTTTGTATTATTAGTTAATAGAATAAATCCAACAATCTGATTTCTAGTGTCCATCTGAATAATTTCCAATGACAAATCATTAAAATATCACCTTTTCATACAAATATTGCCATAACCTGCCCCCTCACTTGCTTAATTTTCCTGTAAAAATCAAATCATGAAAACTTATTAATTCAGACCGACGGTTCTTTTGGAATGGTTAAGACAATGCTGTTAGATTAGTATCACGTAAATGTCATTTAGAGGTTGTAATTTGGTTAATTCAGTGTTGTTAATGTTGCTCCAAATTCTTGTCACATGACTTAACGCTAAGTGCGTAAACCCAATACGTCACTATGATGTCAGGGTCGATACATGTCAACTATATCAGTGTCTATGAGGTTTGCATAAGTTAGGACATAGAAGAAAATGTGGGGTGTTTTCAAACAAAAAACACTGAAAAGCAACTTTAATGGCGATGTGTAGACCAAATTAGGTAAAACTCCCCTTTCATTTCTGGGCTTGGCTGTCCCTATGTCTCTTGGGGTGTCACCCATTTTTTACCAAAGGAGATCCAATCTTAAAATTTGATCAAAATTTCCTTTATTCTATCTGTGAAATGTAGTGTTTTAAATTCTACTTTTATTACAGTTTTTGCTAGGCTTCCATTCAGGTCTCTACTCTCAGGGGAGACAACTGCTGTCAGGAGGTGACCGGTAAATCACCCATACCGACTGATTTAGCATCTCATTACAACGCATCATTATTTCAAAATGAAAATGTTTTAAATGTATAAGTCAGCAGATGAAATAATTTTTTATTTTTTCGAACTTTATTCTGCAAAATGAAATAATTTTCAAAGGGTTTGTGGGTAAATGAAATCCAGTCAGATAAAAGATAAATGAAACATTTCATAAGTATTTGTCTGATAACCATTTACAATTTTTTTTTTTTTAATTTAATTTTTTAATTCAATATAATGTAACCATTACATTTACAATTTACATGTTTATATTGTGTATTCAATTTTTGTGTGTATCAGTCATAGGCAAACATTATTAATTTGCTTCATTAGGGACTTGTCAAAGATGTTAACCTAAAGACCTAAAATGGTGAAATATAGGTGGCAGCCTCGGAAAACTGAAATGAGCCGAAATAGATCTTTTAAAATAAAGACTGAGTCACAGCATAAACTTATACATAACTGTAATTAAAATAAACGGCAAAAAAGAACATCAGTAGATGTGTAATTGTGTATGCAGGGATAGGAAAAAGTCACTAAAACAATGTGCATGGTGACACAAAACCGCAGAACTTCAGAGATTGACACCTCTTTAAGAATGACTTAAGCCAATGATTGCCGAAGTGGTGGAAACACGGAATGTGTAAGGATCCCCCGTGGTCAGTCGGAACATATAGATCAAGTTAATTAGATTCTGATCGTTTTATAAAATTAACAGCCCCTGCAAGACTCCATGGCCTGAACCTTGTTAGTGCTGCAGCTTTAAACATATATCGACATTTTATTTTCTATTTGGGGAAATCAAGCCTCATTTATGTTCTTGTTCTATGCTGTTTATGGCTGTGACAATGACGAGGGGTTCTTGCATGGGCCACCTGACCCAGCAGACATCATAGTGAGAAATAACCTATAATTGAGAGATTGCCCAAAAACTGGTGAGAGATCATCCAGATGCTAAACAAAACAGCAAGAAGTTGTCCACATCATAGAGAAAATAGAAAGAGATTGCCCACAAACCACTAAAAACAGCAAGAAGTTGTCCACATCATAGAGAAAAAAGAAAGAGATTGCCCACAAACCACTAAAAACAGCAAGAAACTCTCCACATCATAGAGAAAAAAGAAAGAGATTGCCCACAAACCACTAAAAACAGCAAGAAACTCTCCACATCATAGAGAAAAAAGAAAGAGATTGCCCACAAACCACTAAAAACAGCAAGAAACTCTCCACATCATAGAGAAAAAAGAAAGAGATTGCCCACAAACCACTAAAAACAGCAAGAAACTCTCCACATCATAGAGAAAAAAGAAAGAGATTGCCCACAAACCACTAAAAACAGCAAGAAACTCTCCACATCATAGAGAAAAAAGAAAGAGATTGCCCACAAACCACTAAAAAGCAAGAAACTCTCCACATCATAGAGAAAATAGAAAGAGATTGCCCACAAACCACTAAAACCAGCAAGAAACTCTCCACATCATAGAGAAAAAAGAAAGAGGTTGCCCACAAACCACTAAAAACAGCAAGAAACTCTCCACATCATAGAGAAAATAGAAAGAGATTGCCCACAAACCACTAAAAAAAGCAAGAAGTTGTCCACATCATAGAGAAAAAAGAAAGAGATTGCCCACAAACCACTAAAAACAGCAAGAAACTCTCCACATCATAGAGAAAAAAGAAAGAGATTGCCCACAAACCACTAAAGACAGCAAGAAACTCTCCACATCATAGAGAAAAAAGAAAGAGATTGCCCACAAACCACTAAAAAAAGCAAGAAACTCTCCACATCATAGAGAAAAAAGAAAGAGATTGCCCACAAACCACTAAAGACAGCAAGAAACTCTCCACATCATAGAGAAAATAGAAAGAGATTGCCCACAAACCACTAAAAAAAGCAAGAAGTTGTCCACATCAAAGAGAAAAAAGAAAGAGATTGCCCACAAACCACTAAAAACAGCAAGAAACTCTCCACATCATAGAGAAAATAGAAAGAGATTGCCCACAAACCACTAAAAACAGCAAGAAACTCTCCACATCATAGA